CGCCGCGGCCTGGACGGGCTTCCGACGGATCCAGGAGCTCCAGATAGTACATCATCTATACTGTAGTGTCTGATTCCAACTTACAGTATATGATGATATCCGAGCTGGAGCCCCAGCAAGTCTGTCCGCTCTCTCGGGGGGGCCTGGAGCCGAGGGCTGGAAGGAAGAGGAAAGCGGACCAGTTAGGGGGTGAACGCTCGCCTAAAATGCACCCTGGGGTGTTGGCTGGACCCTCCCAAAAGTGGGGCACCGTCTGCGCATTCCTAACAGTAAAGCCATTCCCTGGGCAGGGGAACAGGACCATCCAACTTGTTTACTGACTTCGATAGATGGGAGCATTTCTCTCTCAGCCTAAGGGGGTTCTTGTCCTAATAAAAGGTTTTGCAGTAGAATCAGGCTACCTAGAGGTTTGAAAGGCAGGCTGGATTGAAATGCAGTTAAGACGCAAGTTCCTAGTTTGTTTGTAAACTTCTGAAACAATAAATAAAATCTCGACTGGCAACACTGTCATTCCTTCATGCTTTGGGTTCTGGAGCCACGCATTTAACGAACTGCTCACATAAAGGTGCTGTAAACATTTGCCCACCCATCAAAGCAACACGTTAGAGAAAAGTCTTACGTCTCCCGAGACGGCGCTGGACGTACAGAAGACAGAGCTGCCCCCGCCACCTTCCACAGTTGTCCTGCACCCCAAATGCTCGTGGCATCTGCTCCGCGGGAGATGCCTTCTGGCCCTAGGTTCGGGGGGGGCAGGACCAGGGGACAAGGGGAAAGGTTTGTGAGGCTCCCACCCCGGGGGTTGCCCTCCCCGGATCAGCGCTTACCCTCTCTTGCATCTGGCGCCCTTGAGGGCAGCAGCCTCTTGAGAGGGGGCTTCTGAAGGAGGCCCTTTTATAGCCTGGGCTGCAGTGGCACCCTATCTCGACAGCCCTCCCTGCCGCCCTCCCTGCCTGGCACTGCTCCAAAGGCGCCATCCTTCCAGACAGCCAGGAAACTCAAGTGCTCCGAGGACACCCAGGTGGGGCTGAGATAAGGCTGCTGCGGGCCACGTGGGCTCCCACTCTCCGAGGTGGGGCGGCTTCGCGTTGCCCTGGGCTCGCTCGCCAGCTAGTCTTTCTCCTCTTTGGGGTTTCCCTGTTTCTGTCGATGAACATCAAAACACATGCCGAGGCTGAAGCCCAGGCTCAGAGTCAAAATGCAGGTGACAGCAACTGTTCAAAGGTGGAGGCTTTTTAGGGTGCAGATTCAGTCTCTCCTTTGGCCAAAAAAAAAAGTGATCTGGTCGTTAATTGAAGCCAAGGTGAAGCCATCACTTTGGCCCAGATGTGGACATTAACAGGACCGCCTCTGAGCTTGGGCAGAAAGTCTATTCCATAGTACGGCTACCACCAGTTCAAGAGCATTCAGAGAGAAAAGAGGACCAAGGACCTCTTGATGCCTGGGTGATGCCCAGGGCTTTGCCATGCCCAGCACTGAACTGTACCCAAAGTATCCATTCCAACAAGTATTTTCCTACCGTGCCCAGAGGCCCTTTCTGCCAGTAATGGGGGCTGTCTGAGCTAGACTAAACTTTGCCTGCAGCCCGCTTACCAATATCTGGGATGTGGTGAAGAGGCTTCCAGTGGTGATAAGAGCTCCAGGGAGAATTTAGCCTTATACACCCCCCACCCCGCCAGCCCGATTTGCACTCTTATAAAATCAGCCTCTGGACATGCTCAGAGGTAATCTTATCATTCCGTATTTGTGGTAGGGACGAGCCAGGCGAGGAGCAGAGCATCCTGCTGAAGGAAAAGTCTTTGCTTTTGACCACTGGCTTCTGGGGGACACAAGGTGGGGCCTGTTGGAGGGCTTGGACCTGCAGGCCAGGCCAGGTTTCCTCTGGTGACTCACTCCCAGTGTGCTCATCTGCCTTGCCTGTCTGGAGCTGATAAGGCCCTGCCGGGACATCCTTCCAGCATACCTCTGCTTATCGGGGGCCCAGCCCAGGCAGGCAACTGGGCAGGGAGGCATCGGACCACGCAGCCAGCCCTGCGCTTGGCCTCACTGTCTGCACCCAGGGACCAGCCTGGGGATCCGGCTGCCACTGGTTGTTTGCATGGCCCATGATAGGCTGGGAGCACGTCTGCCGTCATCCCGGCCCAGCCCCGCCTGTCCTGTGAAGGGACGATCGCGCCCTGGACCCACGTCTCCGGGGGAACCTGGGGTAAAATGCGGTGCCTGGGCAGCTGGGCTCCCTCCCTCTGCCCCTGCTTTCCTCAGAGAGGCTTTGTGCGCGAGCTCCGTGGGCGTCTCCCCCCACTTGGGAGTCAGCAGGTGCCTGCCCTGCCTTGCCCTGCCTACGGAGCCCTTCCAAGACCATAGTCCCTCCTTCGCTCATCGGCTACACTTGCTTTCCCACCACTTTCTGTTTCAGGTGTGGGTTAGTATTTCATGTTCAAATGCCGCTTCATTTGCCCGGACAATGAAGGTCTCACAATAAGTCGCTGCTCAGTGCTCTGACTGGCTATGTGCCATCAGGTCAGTGAGGACTCTCAGTGACTACGAAGATAGATTTCCTCCATGGTGATCTGTCCCCAGCTTGGTCTTTCAGGTCTTCCCATCGCACTGTAACTGAGTCCCTCCTTCTCGCTGCTGGTCGTCCGCTTCTTCTCTTTCTTCCACCTTTCCCAGCATCAGGGCCTTCTCCAGAGAGCTGCTGGGTCTTCGCATCGTGTGTCCGAAGCAGGAGAATTTGAGACTGGTCATTTGGGTCTTGAGTGAGCACTGTAGACTGGATTGTTCCCTCATCTATTCGTTTGTTTTCTTGGCTGTCCACGGTCTTCTCAGTAGTCTTCTCCAACACCGAAGTTCAAAAGCATCCATACTCTTTCTGTTTTGCTTCTTCAAAGTCCATCATTCACTTCCATAGGGTGACACAAGAAATACCATTCTGATCTTTGTAGGTATAGACACGTCACAGCATCTGAATAGCTTTTCCGAGGCCTTCATGGCTGTTCTGCCAAGTGCCAGTTTGGGGTATGCACTTAAGTGCATTATTGGAGTGCATTTTCAGGCAAAGCATAGTTGGGTTGGATTCAGCCCATCTCCGCTTGGTACCTCCAGGTGTGTCAGACTACAGTTCCAATGATCCCCAGCTAGCCAGGATACTAGTGGTTGAACTGGCCTGGGATGAAACAACTTGAGGTCCACGTGGTAGCTATCGCAGGTGTTTCATGATGCAAACTTGTGCCTGGCAACCCAAGAGGACTCTGAGGTGGTCAAACCCACCCTGGAGGCTTTGATCGATCCCACTGTCATCCCTGCACTCTCTCCAGGCCAAGAACTGGTTTAATGTGGCAATAAAGTCAGATCTAGCCTACTCTCTGATCTGGACAAGAATCCTTGCTGCTGTTAGACTCAAGAAGAGCAAAGCTAAACCTTTTGATTAGTACCAGGCAGAGACGTTTCCTGCTTTGTTCCTACCAGTTCTCATTCAATTGCATGAAAGAGCATTTGCTTTATTTTCTTTTTTCCAAAGGAGAAGAGAATTTCAGTGCAGCTGGCATAGATGGAGGGCGGATACCATCTAACTTGTCCCTCTGCTCGCTGCAGGATCCAGTAGTGCATCTCTAGCCGCTGATGACCTTCGGGGAGAACTCCCCACTTCTTGTGGCAGCCTGTTCCATCTGCTAACGGCTTGTCAGCCAGGAAGTTCCTCTTGACATCTAGCCCGAAGCTCCTCCTTTGTAGTTCTGGTCCTGCTCTCTGGGGCAATAGAGGATAAGTCCTCTTCTGCGTGAGAACTTCTCACCCCAACCTCTCTTCTGTGGGCCAAACATAACTAGACCTATTAACTCAGTGTTTCTCAACCTCTGTGACTTTAAGATGTGTGGACTTCAACTCCCAGAATTCCCCAGCTGGCTGGGGAAGGAAATTCTGGGAGTTGAATTCCACACCTCTTTAAATTGCTGAGGCTGAGAAACACTGCTTCAGCTCTTCCCTGGAAGTCTTAGTTTTCAGACCCTCTACCATCTTGGTAGCCCTCCTCTCAACCTGCTCCAGTTTGTCGCTGTCCTTTTTGAACTGGGTGCCCAGAACTGGACATAGAACCCCAAATAGGGTCTGGCCAGGGGGGACAATTACTTGTGCTCCCATTGGTGCCCCCCACGATAGCATTGGCCTTTTTAGCAGGCGTGTCACACTGCTGGCTCATGGTTACCTTGTGGTCAATAGGGCACCCCCATCAGGTTTCCACCATCCTGTATCTGCACCTTGCATTTTTTCTACCTGGATACAGAGCTTGACCCTCCAGTTGCATCCTTCTCATTTCAGCCCACAGGCGAAGCCTTTCTAGACCTTGTTGAATCTTCTCTTTCTCTTCTAAGTGACAGGCACTCCTCCTAGTCTGATGCCCTCTGCAGATGTGATCGTCACCCTCTCATGCAAGCCATTAACAAAAATGAGAAGCACAGGGCAGGGCCCCCTCCCCCCTCACCTGATGCTACCCTGCAGCTGATGGGAGCCATGTGCAAGTATTCTCTCCAGCAAGTCTGTCTGTGCGCTTTTTGGAACGAGGCAGCTAGACGAATAGCAGCACTCCAAACATAGCTTGATGGATGCAAAATTGTCCTGTGACCTGGATGCTACAGCCCAATTAATAAAAGCAGCACCATGCTTTTAAAAGTTAAATATTTTTTTTAAAGGAAATAATGCAATTGTATTTGTTTTTCTTGGAACTGCCTCACCCGCTACCTTGTGTTCATCTTCAAAGCACCAACATATATATTTTTTATTTTACAAAGCGCTGGCGGCACTCCCTCTGATCACCCCAGGTGTAACTGGCCGAGAAGCCCCTAAGATCTTGCAAGTTTTCTGCCATGTTTTCAAATCAGTTTTATTTTGGCGCCTAGCAAAAGATGGCCAAGGTTTGATCTGTATCAGGACAGAAATCCACTAACTGTCCCCAGCTGATGGGCATCCAGCCCTCATCTGAAAATTTCCAGCAGAAGATAATCTGCCTTTGCCCCAGGCAGGCGTTCTGCTGTTTTCGCACTCTTTCCACCAGGAAATTCCCGAAACTTTTAATTTAATCCCACTGGCCCTGATTGGTTTCAAAAGAGCAAACAGCAGCTTTTTAGGTATTTGTAGGCCTTTATGTATTAAATTTGTACGGCCACCCATCACACACATGTGACTTTATCGTGCCCACTTTTAGCCTTCTCTCTTGCAAGCTAATGGCAGGCAGCTCCTGGCAGGGCTTGGTTTCCTTTTATCCTCCAGTGGGTCTCCCCTGTGCTGCTTCAGCTTCGCCATCCATATCTAGAAGTGGACACTGTCCTTCAGGGACAGGCCAACCCGCAGACTGGAGGTAACGAAACTCTTCTCTCCTAGAAATCTCGATGCAATGTTTGGGTTAAAACTGCCTGAGATTAGCCACTACAACAGGTTTGCTCCTGGCCACCTGGGGATCCACCGTTAGCCCCAGTCCCCCTTACCTGCACAGCACCAAGGCAGATCTTGGTAATCCTGGGCCAATTTTTCTATCTAGGACCTTACCTTTACCACCGCTGAAGATCATCTTCTTGGATTTGGACTAATGTCAAGGCTGAGCGACGTTCGAATTAGGCTTGTGTAGATACGCATTTTATAAAATAAATGAATGTTGTTCTACAACCCCCTGCCCGCCTGCCCGCCCCCGGCTAGGTTTTATCCACAAATCTGATAGTATTCCTTTTACGCAAATCCTTCAGGTCGCTTGTAAAGAAGGGCCAAAACAGAGCAGCTGGGGTCCCGGCCAAGGCACTGCTTATGAGCTTTGTCCAATCAGCTGCCCGTCCACAAGACCACCAGACCGCCTGGGCCAGGTTTCTTGGTCTTCTCCGTAAGGCTATGACGGGGGACCAAGTCAAATGCTTTTGGTGCCCCACGCCCCCAGCGCTTCCTTGGCCTTATAACTCTGTAAGAGAAAGAGAGGGGTTGAGCTGTCACGGCTAGTTGTCACCTGGGGAGAGAAGGATGGAGCCTCCATGTTCAGAAGGAAAATGCCACATAATTGGGCGGGCCTGAGAGACGGTGACTGATTTCCCCGGAAGCATCAACAGAGCCTGTGACTCGATGGGGCAAATCCTTTGGAAAGGGCAGAGGTGGGTCTGGAGGGAGGCCGGAGAAAGATGCGTTTGTGTTGGGAACCCTCCAGCTGGTCTGGCAAGGAAACCTGCAGCCACGGCTGCCACCCTTCCTGCGCTCTCCAGGAGGACCGACAGGACTTTGGGTCCTGCTGATCTGATCTGAAGAGGACAAGGCGAGGCACGTTCGGGCCCTACATGAAGCGTGTGTCCGCACAGGGCGCGTGCAAGGGCAGTGTGCTCCTTGTAGGTCACCCAAGAGTCAGAGGCAAGGAGCGGGTGCCATCTTTCTTGGCAGCGGCGGTGAGAGCACCAAGCCTCTTATCAGCGCACGGCCGCTGCTTCTCTTCCTCTTTCCATCCAAGCAGCCCCAACCAGCTGCTTCTCTCTAGATAAGGAGCCCCCCACACACACAAGTCCAAAGGGACCGTATCCTGGCTTATCAGCAGCTCCACCCGGGATGCCCCACCCAACAGTGAACTGCCCCCCCGAAACATAAGCAGCCATTTCACTAGTCCCAAAAATTATCAGAAGGACCAGAGGAGCCCTCCCTTCAACCCCTTGCACATGCTCGCTCTGATGGCAGCCATTGGTCCTAGCAACTCGGCAGAGCAGTGTCTCCCAACTTCGGCAACTTTAAGATGTGTGGACTTCAACTCCCAGGATTCCCCATGTTGGCTGGGGAATCCTGGGAGTT